TTTAGATTTTCTTTGTGGCAGTACTTTGCAGAATTTTGATTTCTATTCTGTATGACAAATTTCTGTGTTTTTCTACCTGAATTTTGAAATTATGTTGAAAATAAAAAATTGTCTTAAATGATTATACCTTTTCAGGCCTAGCCAGTTGGGCAAAAGCTGATTTTTAAGAGGACAAAAAAATTGTTGAAGTAAATTGGTTTCCCTTTCAAATGATTGCCCTTATCTGATAATATTTAACTCTGAGAGTTCACCTATTACTCAAGTCACTTTTCTGTGATACAATTAAAGTACTTAGAACACAGCCCTGACCTATGATTAAAGGACCATTCAAGATCCCTTAAGGTAGAAGTTACTGCATTCCATGCACTATAAACAAGGTAGGTGGTAATTATTTGAGCTATCTGGCTAATTAACATCAAGACTGTAGCAAACGTACTTGAGGGGAGAATCTATAATCTTGGACGTAAATTATTTAGTTTCATTTAAATGGATCCCAGAATACCAGGCTTTAGATATATTAACATGATGGATGACACAATTATAAACACTGTTAAGGGTGGAACAAGCTTTCTATATTTTCTTATTGATATTGAATTACTGTTTCTTCAACACCCTCAGTATATTCCCTTTGGCAACATAGTTAGCCTCAGTTATCCTCCTTATAAAAGAAATATGTGTCTTCAACGTGAATAAGCATACAGATGATTAAGAAGATACCATACCATAGAAAAGTCCTAGAGTTAGGCACACATTTAGTTATTGCATTCATTTGACCTAAGAGTAGATATATAAAAATATTTTGATTTTGTTGTTGCATGCATTACTCTAAAAAGTCTACTAAAGATTATATTGCAAAGTTATATTCAACATGTGAATATCTACACCCTCCGGTTTATAAGTCATGTAACTTATTTACTCTAAACCCAGGCCAGACAGGCAGCATACTATAGTAGAAGATACCACAGCTTTGGAGTCAGGCCCAAGTTTGGATATCAGTACTTCTGATTGGTATTATAGGACTTAAACTTAAATCAGAAAAAAAAATACACAAAAGAAATCCCGAGAACTTCACAAACTCAAGTGAACATTTTATGAAAGTTTGGGAATGGTGTAACTGGGCTATAACAATTCCATGTAGAATTTCTTTATTGATTTAAAAACAATTTTTATTTTATTTACTTGAAGGCAGAGAAACACACATATAGAGAAGAGACTAGATCTCCCATCCTTCAACATTTGATTATCCCCAAATGTCTGCAACAGCTGAGCCTGGGCCAGGCTGAAGCGAGGAGCCTGGAAATTAATAATCATTTACCATGTGGATGGCAGGGACCAACTTTTTGAGCTATACCTGTTTACTCCCAAGATGCACATCAGCAGGAAGCTGGAATTGGGAGTGGAACTAGGAATAGAACTCAGGAACTTTAATATGCAATGTGGGCATCCTAAGTGGCCTTTTTTTTTTTTTTTTAAGATTTATGTATTTACTTGAAAGTTAGAGGTAGAGGCAGAGAAAGAGGTCTTCCATCTGCTGGTTCACTCCCCAGATGGCCACAACAGCCAAAGCTGGGAAGATACAAAGCCAGGGTCTCCCACGTGGGTGCAGGGCCCCAAGGACTTGGGCCATCTTCTACTGTTTCCTCAGGCACATTAGCAGGAAGCTGGATTGGAAGTGGAGCAGCCGGGACTCAAAATAGTGTTCATATGGGATACCGGCACTGCAGGCCGTGGCTTTATCCTCTATACCGCAGCACTGGCTTCTTAACCACCGCATCAATTGCTGTCATTTTTGATAGTTTTTAAAATATTCTCTTTTGCTGATGTTTTGTTTCCGCGAATATTAGTATAATTGAGAATACTACTAATAGTACGTATCTGTGTAAGACTGTCTTTGAAAAAACTTACCTGATATACATATTTATGTAATATAATGTTTGATTACAAAGAGGGTATGGAAACGTTAAGTGAGAATTACAAACCACTTTAAGAAAAAATAATGTGATCTGAATAAAAGGGAAGGTAACATTTTAGAAAGATAATATATATTGAGGATATTTTCACCAAATTACTAAAGTGCTTCATTTGTATTCTTGCACACTCAGCACACAAAAGTACTAATAGCATAGCATTGCTTACAGAAAGAAATAGATTTTCTTTATAATGTTTTCAGGACAAAAAATCTTCAAAAATTTTTAAAAAAGAAACTAAAATATGTCTCATTTCTTTTTTTATGAAAAATTATTCTTAATCTCCAATAAATTAGAGATACAATGGCCTCAAGTTTCCTGGTCAACATTGGATCACATTCCTACCCTGTACATGGAGTGGGACGGTACTCATGAATGACACTCCAAATGGATTTATTAAACTAAAGGGTAGAGAACTAAGAACTACTGCACATGAAAATGTTTGGGCTGGAAATTTTGATACTGGTTTAGGATTATCTAAATATCTGTCTATCCATCCATCCATCAACCAATCCTATATATGCAAATCTGTGTTATTAATTATATTAGATTGTCATTATATTACAAGCTACTAGCACTGTGTTTTATCTGAATAACTTGAAATTAAATTTATCATAAATATTAAAGTAAAAATTATGAGGAATTTTAGGACATGAAATCAGTCTCATTCTTTCCATGCTTTTGCACACTCATCAACAAAATATAATCACAATTTTAAAAAAATTTACAAGATCTTTAGCATGAAAATTTTCTGAAATATAGTTGCATAATAATTCAGGGGGCCAAAGTGTTGGTGCAGTGGACTAAACCTTAGCTTGTGACACCAGCATCCCATAATGGAACACCAATTCGACTCCTAGCTACTCTACTTCCAATCCAGCTCCCTGCTATTGCACCAGGGAAAGCAGCAGAATATGGTCTAAGTACTTGGCCTCTGCACCCATTGGAGAATTCCAAAAGGAGTTTCATGCTCCTGGCTTGGGTCTGGCCCAGTCCAGGCCATGGCAGCATTTGAGAATGAGCCAGCATATGGAAGATATCTCTGTATCTGTATCTCTCTCTCTCTCCCCCTGTCTCTCTCTGTCACTCTGCCTTTCAAATAAATAAATAAATTTAAGAAAAACAAGTCATAAGTGCCCTTATGAGCAATATGAAGCATCATATATATATATGACTACAGTTATGTAGATATCTTTAAATAAAAAAAATTGACCTATAGCACTTTTAAAACTTCAGTAGATTTATATATCTCCCACAGTTTCTGAATTACTGAATTATGGCTTTGTTTGCATTTTTTTTTTTGACAGGCAGAGTGGACAGTGAGAGAGAGAGAGAGAGAGAGAGAGACAGAAAGGTCTTCCTTTTGCCGATGGTTCAGCCTCCAATGGCCGCCGCGGCCGGCACGCTGCGACCGGCGCACCGCGTTGATCCGATGGCAGGAGCCAGGAGCCAGGTGCTTTTCCTGGTCTCCCATGGGGTGCAGGGCTCAAGCACCTGGGCCATCCTCCACTGCACTCCCTGGCCACAGCAGAGAGCTGGCCTGGAAGAGGGGCAACCGGGACAGAATCCGGTGCCCCAACCGGGACTAGAACCCGGTGTGCCGGCGCCGCTAGGCGGAGGATTAGCCTAGTGAGCCGCGGCGCCGGCTTTTTGTTTGCATTATAAAACTATGACATTTTGTTATTTAAACTAATCTTTGTGATTTTGAAATTTTTATTATATATTGATAAATTACAGTAGTATATATTTATGGGATACAAAATGATGCTATAAGTTTTAATACCGTGAGGAATGACTGAAGTTAAGCTAATCAATATGGCCATCATTGCAGATATTTAATATTTTTATGATCAGGATATTTGAAATTCACTCTCAATGATTCTGACATATATAATACTCCATTATTGGTCCCATATCCTGTATTGTTCAATAGATCTTAAAAGAACAAGAACGAACCTATTCTTCCTAAAAGAGCTTATGTACAAAAAAAGAAAACATTTGTCACATTTATAGTTACATTAAAAATATAAAGTCTCAAGGACAGTATAACTATGGAGTGCCAATTTTGCCACAGCACATAACATACAGTTATATATTATAACAACATTGAAGGCAAAAGGACAGTTTCTGTATTTTACTGGAGCCTACGTTCTGCCAGGAGTCAGACACAAGATAAGCAGTCACGTGTATGTGCACACGATATGTATAGATCTCATAATGCTAATTATAACTACATGTTTCCTCTTTAAGAACATTCGATTTTCTAAAATATAATGTTCCAGTGTTGACTGAGCTCTTTAATTATAAATTTCACTCATTCCCACTTTAATTTGGTAGAATTCATCCTATTTCTGTATCAATTTCTGTACGTTTCTATACCTAACTCTATTTCCACAGATTTCAAATATTATTAGGTCACTAAAATACTTTTCCCCTCCTTTTCATTGAAGCAATTGTTAGTCAAATTTTATCTTAATTCCTCTTTTGTTACTCCAAAGTTCTAAAAGCTATTTCTTTTGAAATCAGAGCAGAAGCCTCACTTCAGAAACACATAAAAGAAAATTGATTTTCATGCTGAAAATGTCAAACTTCTCCCTATAATACTCAGCTATGGTTTTCTGCAACAACAAAGTTCAAAAAGAGCCATCGACCTGATGGCTCTTTGACACAAGATGATGGATGCAATGTGTCTACTACTTTACTGCCAGAATGTCCTCCCAGAGAATGAGACAATCAATGAAGAATAATAAATCCAAACTGGGGAGAAGGGTGCTTGTTTTAAATGTATTAAAGGAGAAATCACTTCTCTGGGGATTGCCTGTTATAAACTGTATGATTAACTTTTTCCTCTCTTTCTGGTTCTAATGAATCAGACAGAACACATGAGCATATCTGTTCGGGAAGTGGAGCGATGCCAAGAAATTAAACTGCATAGACAGCATACTTAATGTGAAATATAGATGCAGTGTATTTTTTAAGGGAGAAGGAAAATATAAAGGATACAACTTCAAGCAAAACATAAATATAGCTCACCCTCTGGTGTTGTCCTTCTGTCATCCGCTGGGTCTGAGAACTTCAGTTCTTTCTGGTGAATGATATTTCCATTTTCCTGTAGGATAGAGTTACTGGTTAATACCATATCAGAAACAGTCTTTATTCAAGTGCAAAACAGATGAGTAGCTTCTTTTATAAATTACACTTATGTCTGAGATGAAATCATCATAATTACTGAAAAGCAAATCTTGCAATTTTGAAAGCGCATTTTAGATGTGACATACTAGACTTAAAACTTAACCTACAGAACACATATAGCCATGTGCTCTAGGTTAAATCTTTACTTATGAAATGAAAAATCATCTCCTTCAGCATATTCTTTAGTATGATCAGTGTCTGTTAGTGCAGAAATTTCCTAACAAGAAAGCATGGAAGAAATTCTCTTCAATGACATGATGTCTTTTCATGGTATGGAAAATAGGTTTAAAACAATGAAGAACAGCTACAGATAGATTGAAAGTGACTTTTGAGTCCATTTAATTTTTAGAGCTCATTTTGTTTACACTATACAATTATTAGCTAATATCAAAATTTTTGTATCTACACTTTATCAAAGGAAAAACAATTTCATGATAATGCAACACAAACCTTAAGACATTTTGGGTGTTGCTGCTTTTCCCTACTGGATCAACTTCCTTGAAGTTAAAGAACACCTTTAATTATTGATGTATCTTTTTAAAAAGTTTTAATTATTTAAAAGACAGGGTTATAGGAGAGGATAGAAACAGAGATAAAGTGAGAGAATGCGAGTATCTTTTTTTTTTTTTTTTTGACAGGTAGAGTTATAGACACTGAGAGAGAGAGAGACAGAGAGAAAGGTCACTTAGGCCATCCTCCACTGCCTTCCCGGGTCACAGCAGAGAGCTGGACTGGAAGAGGAGCAACAGGGACTAGAACCCAGAGCCCATATGGGATGCCGGTGCCACAGGTGGAGGACCAACCAAGTGAGCCATGGTGCCGGCCCCGGGAGTATCTTTCATCTGCTGGTTCACTCCCCAAATGGGAGCAATGTCCAGAACTGGCTCAGGTCAGCTTCAGGGACCTGAATCTTGATCCAGGTCTCCCACTTGGCACAAATCCAAGTACTGGTGCCATCTTCTGTTGCCTTCCCAGGTGCATTAGCAAGGAGCTGGATCAGAGCAAAATAGCTGGGATTGGAAGCAGTGCACGTATTGAGTGCCAACAATACAGGAAGCAGTTTAACTCACTGTGCCACAACACCAGCCCAAATCTCTCTCTTTTTAATTAAGATTTATTTATTTTATTTGAAGGGTACAACCACAGAGAAAGGGAGAGATAAGAGACAGAGAGATCCTCCATCCGATGGCTCACCCCTCAATTGGCTGTAGCTGTGCCAGACCAAAGCCAGGGTCCAGGACTCTTCTCAAGGTTTCCCAATTGGGTGCAGGGGCCCAAGCACCTGGGTTATTCTCTACTGCCATCCCAGGCACATCAGCAAGGAGCTGGATAGGAAGTGGAGTGGCCAGGATTTGAATGGCTACTCATATGGGATGCCAGCATCACAGGGAGTGGCTTACCCCACTACACCACAGCACCTGATCCCCAAATTTATTTCTTACACCCAAACTGCTGAATACTTGAAAAGTTAAGTAGACAAAGAGTCATGTAAAATTAGTTTTTGCAGCAGGTGTTGTGATGTAGAGGCTTAAGCAGTTACTTGGGAAGCCCACATCTGATGTCAGAGTGCCAGGGAGATTCCAGGCTAATCCACTTCCTATACAGTTTCCTGTTAATGCTCCTGGGAGGAAGCAGGTGATGGCCCACATTCTTGGGTTCCTGCCACACACATGGGAGACTCAGATGGAGTTTCCAGGCTACAGCCTGGCCCAGTCTCTGCTATTCTGGCCACTTGAAAAGTAACCCAACACATGGAAGATTTTTTTTTTTTTCAATCTCTATTACTATACTTTCAAACAAATAAATAAATCATTAAAAACCAAGACCACTTTTTCAATATTTTCACTTTTCTAAGGTGAACGAATTTCATGTAGCTCATATATACAGATTTAGGAGCACAGCCATACTTCTCACCCTCCCTTCTCCTTTCTCTCCTATTCTTTCAATTTTTACATAGATACACTTTGAGCTTATTCTATAATCATGAGTTTAACTCTTCACTAGGTAGAGAATTCAGCAAATAGTAATAAGAAAAAAAGCACTGTTTCTCAACAGTAGAGACAAGAGCTGTAAACAAAACTCAAATGTCAATTTCCATCATATATATTACATTTCCTGTAAGACGGTTTTTTCTTTGTAATAATCAATATTAAATATAATTGAGAAAGGTATTATTTGTAATAACATGAGAAATAATAAAAGAAATTAGAAAAAGAAATATTTATAAACATCGAGAACACATATGCTTGCATGGATATAGAGAATGATCTCTACACAAAAATTAAAAAAAAGCATACAATTCATTTTTATATCACTTTTGGGATTAATTAATTTCTAAAAAATGACTTAAAGCAATGTTAAAATATTTTAAATTTTATTTGTTTTTATTTATTTATTTCAGAGGCAAAAAGATGGAGTGATAGCTCCCCTCTGCTGGTTCACTTCTCAAATGCCCATAATTTGAGAAATGTTTGATATGTTAAAGTTCAAAGCTTTTAGAATGGATTCTTCTGATGGATTTCATGACCATTTATTTACCTTCATATAATTCTTAGACTTTCTAATGTCTAAAATAGTGAGTGTGCTTTTCTTAAAAGCACTAAGAAAATGCACTTCTTTTCAGTGGCATAAGAAATACAAATTGTTTCATAAATTAGAAAACTAAATGTATATTTTAGAATATAAATTTGTGAACTTTGGGAAAATAATATACTTTTTCTTTCTTTTTTTTTTTTTTTTTTTGGACAGGCGGAGTGGACAGTGAGAGAGAGAGAGAGAGACAGAGAGAAAGATCTTCCTTTTTCTGTTGGTTCACCCCTCAATGGCCGGCGCATTCTCGCTGATTGGCGCATTCTCGCTGATCCGAAGCCAGGAGCCAGGTACCTCTCCTGGTCTCCCATGCAGGTACAGGGCCCAAGCACCTGGGCCATCCTCCACTGCACTCCCGGGCCATAGCAGAGAGCTGGCCTGGAAGAGGGGCAACCAGGACAGAATCTGGCGCCCCGACCAGGACTAGAACCCAGGGTGCTGGCGCTGCAGGTGGAGGATTAGCCTATTGATCAGCAGCGCCGGCCAATAATATACTTTTATGAAGAGACTCTTAACCACTGTAATTATTATTTAGTGTTATTTACTAGACTGTTATTTACTAAAATATGCACACATCCATTCAAAATATTGCAGATTTTTCTTTCTGGATAATTGTACAAAAGTTGTGCAAATGAAGGCATGGTCTTTGATTTTTAAATAGTTTTAATTTAAAAAAAAAGATAGGTCATAAAGTCCTAGAAACAGCTGCTCAGAGTACCTGACCTAAGTGATTAATATATGACTTTGGAGAAAGCTCAGTGACTACTTTGCATAACAAGATGCTCGATGAATGGCCACTTCAGAACATTTGGATATTATAAATCATTATAATACCAGTGTGAAATCTAAAAGACCTTCTAACACCCAGCATGGTACAATAACTCCACAAAATTATTTTCTGCATAGTTCAAAGTATGCATCTCGTCATTCCTTTTTCCTGCTGAGAGCTCACACAAAACACACCATTCTTTAAATTATGTTTTATAGAATATTTATGATATCATTAGAATGAAACAAAAAATTCAAAGATACAAAAAGGAGAGATGGGGCCTACATGTGTTAAAATAATGACAGGATTTAAATATATGTATCTATTAAAGGATATACTTCTTTTAGATGGGCTCTGCTTGAGAAAGCTTTTATTAGAAAAAAAGTATTATTGTTTGGGAGTTGAAAACAGCTGCAAAATTTCTAAATGCCTTTATAAGCAAAAGTCTACAAAAATTTGTCTCATGGCCAGCGCCGCGGCTCACTAGGCTAATCCTCCACCTGCGGCGCCAGTACACCGGGTTCTAGTCCCGGTTGGGGTGCCAGATTCTGTCCCGGTTGCTCCTCTTCCTGTCCAGCTCTCTGCTGTGGCCCGGGAGTGCAGTGGAGGATGGCCCAAGTGCTTGGGCCCTGCATCTGCATGGGAGACCAGGAGAGGCGCCTGGCTCCTGGCTTTGGATCTGCATGGTGTGCGGGCTGCAACGTGCAGGCTGCAGCGGCCATTAAGGGGTGAACCAACGGAAAAAGGAAGACCTTTCTCCCTGTCTCTCTCTCTCTCTCTCACTGTCCACTCTGCCTGTCAAAAAAAAAAAAAAAAAAAAATTCATCCTATGCAAATTTAAGCAAAAGTCAGCTGAATCATATTGTGGGACAGGGGCTACTTAATTCCATTCAAATTTCAAGTCACCATTTTACAAGAATCACAAGTAGCACTCTTCAAAAAGAGTGTATGTGTATTTTGATATGTGTATTTTGATAAAAAGACGCATGGATGTAAAAATGTTTTGCACCAAAATAATTTATTTTAAATTGCATTTTTTTCATGAACTTATTATGTGTTCATCTAACTGTATTTTATAATTCTGTGGAAAGGCATTTAAAGGTTTATTTATTTATTTGAAAGATAGTGTTACAGGGGCCTGTGCTGTGGCATAGCAAGTTTGGCTGCTGCCTGTAGTGCCAGCATCCCTTATGGACACCAGCTCCTGGCTTCGGATCAGCGCAGTTCCGGCCATTGTAGCCAATTGGGGAATGAACCAGCAGTTGGAAGACTCTCTCTCTCTCTCTGCCTCTCCTCCTCTCTGTGTGTAACTCTAAGCTTCAAATAAATAAATAAATCTTTTTAAAAAGTGTTAGAGAGAGAGGGAGGGAGGGAGGGAGGAAAGGGGAGGGAGAGGGGGAAGGGGAGGGGAAGGGAGAAGGAAGGAGGGGGAGAGGGAGGGAAGGGGAAAGGGGAGGGGGAGGGGGAAAGAAGGAGGAGGAGAGGGAAGGGGAGGGGGAGAGGGAGAGAGGGAGAGAAGGAGAGAGGGAGAGAGGGAGAGAGGGAGAGGAGAGAGGGAG